TGTTTAGTAGACAGCTTTTCATATTTGCAACATGTTCAAGTTCTTATTTCTTGATCTAAACTGAATAATATGTTCTCTTATCGACTGGGAGATTTTTTAAAAAGGCTAATGCCAATAATCATCATAATGCCAAATATCGGTGCCAATAATCGGTCTATCCATAGTTCATGCAACCATATTACAGTACGGTATTTTAGTATAATACAATCATAGCTGCTACTGCAATACATTTTAAATTCAAATTAAGGTTAGTTAGAAAATAGGGTACAAATAATACAAGGAATAACACAAATAATCAAGAAACAATATTGCATATGCACCTATAGGAATTACATTTTTATGACACAATAACATTATTTCCTCATTCAGTCATGCGTAAATTTTGACTACCGGTCTATATTCATAGTTTGGCTGTAACTCAAGAATATCTGTGATTTTCAGTTTTTTCTATGACTGGGTGGTGCTGGAAAAAGCATCTGCATTTTCTTGGGGGGGGTCACTTGGTGGCGCTGGAGTATTGCAGCGTGTAGTCTGGGGCACATATGGAAGGATACTTCCAGTCTCAAGGTTTGAGATACAATTAAATTCACAAATAAATAAATGTAACGATCTAATTTTAGTGGGGGGGAGGGAGTAATTGCAGGGCTCTTGATCATGTAAATGCTTGCGCTCGATTAAAGAACGGAGCAGGCGATACTTTGCCCACTCCTGGTCGATAGACATGTCAGATGTAGTGTGTCTGACCCTCACTTTGTTACACAAACAGCCCCAGAGTCACTCCAACACACATACAGTATGCTTAACCTCACACCTGCACAGTGTACATGTGTGCATTTGCACTTGCCTCCACTTTCCTCTCACACTGTGTGCAGCCTAAAGACACCCTTGTGGTCTCTTGAGGGTTATCTTGTAACTGATGAGGCTTCCCTGCGTTCCTGCTGCTAAATATACGCTCCACAACCATCTGGGAGAATCATTTTGTTCCCTTAATATCCCCATCAGCACTTTAAGCTGGCCAAATGACTGACCCCCAAATCCCACCCGCCCCTCCATGCCTTAGCAACTCCTGCATCCCTATTCATACTCCTCAAAATCCACCTCCACCACACCGCTGCCACCCGGAGCCCCAGCCTGGAAGAGACGACCTGCCATTTGAGTGTAGGGTGGGTGTCGTGCTGACCCCTGAACCGGGATTCACTAGACGTACGCTTTTGGGGAATCTGTTAATTCGGGATCTTGGATCTCTTACTTCTCTGGATTATTAAAAAACAACAACAACAACACACAGGTGAGTTTTAGTCAGCTGACAGCTTTGATTAAAATCTGCAAAACAGTTACTAGAGGTAGACGTGTGTGGAATGTTCCAAATGATTTCTGGAGGAATGAGGAAATTGTGACAATTATTCATTTTTGCAATGCTGCAAAACTTTTACTGAGAAGGCTTTTGAATGATTTTTATTTGATTAATCTGATGCCACTTGAACAATCTGCTTGCATCTTCAAAGGACCAAAGGAATGGGCCAGTGCATTGACCCTCCCACTCTAGGCACTGCATAGATGTAATATGCCGTCACCAAACCCAGAAAAGGAGGGTGTTAAACCTGAGAAGCTGCACTTAATCATCTTTTAGAATTTCAAAACTGTACCCACAAATGTATTTCACGAATGCTAGATTGAGTCGTATTTGTCTTCCGTAAGGTATTGAAAAGAAGGATTACATTGCGGGTGTGTTTTTGTGTGCTGACGGATTGTATCAGAGTCGTCGATGGTCAAATGACACCTTTACTCGTCGCTCAATGTCTTGGCTAGGGATGGCTACATTAAAAATAGCCTTGTGGGTTGTGTTACAGTCAGGCAATGTGATGTTTTTCCTTTTAATGAGAGGGCTACTCGACATGTTTGAGAACTGGAGGTGCTTATGGCCATCTAACAAGAAAGAAAAAAAAAAGAGGGGGCCAGTGGGGTGGGGGGTAACAACCCAAACAAAAACAAACTATAAATAACTGGAATATTCAGGGAGGAAGATTCTGATCTCACCAATTTTTGACAATTCAACTTTGGAGGTTCCACTGTACTGCATTTGAAAAATTCGTGGAAACTGTTATTTCCACGGGTCCTTCAAAAACAAACTTTTTTGAAAGGGATTTTGTCCGATCTGTACTGTAATTTTTGAACTATAGGTACAGTATAGTAATCAGCTCAAACAAACTGGAGCTTTGATCATTGCATGTGGATGGAGCATAAAACACATTAACACCATCCAACATAAAACTCTGACAAAGTTCGTCGAAGCCAGATGATGATCCCAACATTAAGAGATTCTTTGGTTCCCCGACTGTCCAAATAAACATTGCTCTCACTTGTCCCCCCCACAGCCATGCCTGCAAGAACACCCACCCCAATAATCAAGAGGAGAAAGCCCACCAAAGTCATCGTTGACATATCAAATATCTCTCAGGATGGTAAGTCTGAGATTGTTTACTACGATCGGCCAAACTTGACAAGACCACTATCACATCAAGTTGGTGATTTAATGTGATGAATGAACTTCTCTAGATTACGAACCCGTGGTGAAGATATCCGAGTTTGACTTGGGAAGAAAGATTGGCACGCCAAGGGACATCATGCTGGAGGAGTTGTCGCTACTCAAGAACAAAGGCTCCAAGATGTTCAAGATGAGGCAGCAGCGGGTGGACAAGTTCATCTACGAGAACAACCCCGACATCTTCTATGGCGACTCCATGGTAGCCTACAGCAAATGGTCCGACGTGCAAAGGGTTTAATCAGCACATAATAGTGTTTCGTTTGATCTGGCTTCCTTTCAGGACGAGTTGCAAAAATTTGTCCCGACAGTAGGCGGTCAGATGGGCAGCCAGACAATACATCTGGGCGGGTATCTCCTCAGCAAGGATACCAGTCAACAGCATTATGGAGGGATGTATGGGGGAAGGGCCTCCATGACCCAACCAAAGCCTGGGAGCAAGGGTGGAGAAGCTGGAGGAGCAGGAAGAGTCGGAGGAAGTGCGGGGGGACAAGGCGGAGGTCAGCATGGGAAAGATGGATTACATGGAGGGTCGGGTGAGGGATCCACACAAAAAGATTGGTAGGAAGGATTGCTGAAATCGCACTGATTTGTTACAAGCTCTACGAAGGAGTGCTTTTTCAAGAGTCTTTGGTCCCTTCAAGGCCAATGTACCACTATACACACACATTCATCCATCCAGCGACCGCCCGAGAGAAAATTGCTGCAGACTTTCCAGTTTGTTCCTTTTTGTTCATAGATGGTGGAAAAGATGATGCATCGAAGAAGACGCACCCGAAAACCTACATATCACCATGGGAGAAGGCCATGAAGGGTGATGAAAGTTTGCTCGCCACCCTGAAAGGGTTCATGCCCGGCCCTGTCCATCATATTGAACTGCGCAAGTACAAATGCTTCAACAGGTATTCATGTACATTAAAAAAAAAAAAGAAATCACAATAATATTACATCTGTTGAGTGTGATGTTTGGCTAAAATGACTCACGAATTATTTTATTCAGGAAAGAGAGTGTTTTATCTAAATTGCTGTTAAAAAAAAAAAAAGAGCTATGTTCATTTGTGGAGTACCCGAGAGTTCTGTTCTTTGACCAAGCTCTCTTTTTTCATTGTTCTGTACACCAACAACTAACTTCTTTCACACGGAGATAATCGATAAAATTGGAGAATTAGAGCCATAGACAGCTCATTTGGCTGCCAATGTCTATTATGCAGAACCCAGCAAAGCGGGATTTTGACAGCTTTAACAAGTATGTTATCTTGTGTTTTTCTGCGAATAAAACTGACACTCGCCTCCCATTGACAGGACTGCCATGCCCTATGGCGGATTTGAAAAGGCCCTACAGTTCATGAAATTCCAAATGCCCGACACTCAGAAGAACAAAGTGGTAGTTTTGCCCACGCTGGAGTACGGGCACGACCTCAAGCTGCGACGTTCCTTTAACCGCACGCCCATAGGCTGGGTGGGCAGCAGCGAGCCCTGTAGCATCCATGTGGAGCTGGATGGCGTGCCCTATGATGGCGAGACCGAGGAGCTCTGAAGAAGCTGTTACTGTCGCCCACTAAGCGCACGCAGACAAAAGCGTAACATGCCAATACGTGCTGGCATGCACAGTCACGCTAGATGAGCTTACAACTGTTGCTTTTTGTGATGGCCCACATGTGGTAATGTTCATGCTCGGAGAGGCAAAAGAACAAAACGTATATGGTCTCGAGAGAATAAACAATGGCGATATTTTGGACAACATATAAAGGGATAGACTCACTTCATCACAAATCAATTGTGTCTGCATGCCAACAATGATTGTTAGAAACAAGCACCTGTTTGTGTTTTGGTTCATATGACCTCGTCATAGGCTCATCGAAGTGAAGTTACAGTTGTTAATGAGAAATAAACCCCTTTTTAAAAGTGCAGCACTTATCTTTATTCTATAACTCGTAAGGATTGTGGAAAGAGATCTAAAAAAAAACAAGGATTGCGTAAATATAGACGCAAAATGTAGTGAAGTGCTCCAAACATGTTCTTTATTCGTTTTAGCAGCATCTCCATTACTTTAAAATTCTCCTGAAGAAATGACTTTTTTTTAAACACAAAGAGGAAAAATAAATGTAGGAAACAAAAGTAAGAACTTGGCAAAAAAATATCCAACTGCAGGTATGTGAAAAATCATTTTCAGCAACTCCCCTGTTTTTAAAGGTAAGAAGTAAAACGGGCAAATATATTTTTTATATCAGCAATGGTATTTGTACTTCATCACTACTTCCCACAATTTACTCTTGTTTACATGATAACCACTGAGCGCTGCAGAAGAAATACACACATTAAATTTTTGTACTGTTTACTCTATATCTCGAAGACAAAATTAATTCAAGAACTTACTTTACACGGTCAAGTGACGAGTCATCCCTGGCTGGAGGGGGCGACCAGTTTGACGAAGGGCAAGCTTGAAGCACACTGGAAGAAGAGAAGAGGGCAGATGTGAGTCCGTGGGTTTTGTGCCACTTTTTATGTGTGCTTAAGTTATATTTGAACCATACACTCGCTGTGGTGGAGCGTGGACTGGCTTGAGGACAACAAGATGGACCGCCACATGACATTTTTAGGTAACACTCCAAATAAACTTACGCTAATTTAGCTACGACTGATATGCAATAATAATATGGGACACATGGAAGTCAGTATAATGAAACGGCTGTGGGGAAAATAACCTCACACTTTCCTACAAACAGGTCCACTTGTAACATCTCATTTTTCAACAATACACTCACAACCGTGTATGTTAGCTTACTTGGTCCTCCGTAGACGTAACTCGTTTGCCGCGAACGTGACTGTCGTAAAGCGTTTGGCGTTACTTAGCAACCGTCAACAGCGTTCCGTCTTCGTCAGTGAAGTCACGATTAAAAATAATTAGCACTAGTTAGTGAAATTTGCGTTCATTTTTTTTAAAAAACGGTGTGAGAGCAGTGGAATGAATGAATTGGTTTCTGTATAAAAAGAAATTGGCAGAACTGCCCAAAGATATGTGTGCCAAGCTTGTGACATCATATTTGAAAAACGTTTAAGGCAACCAAGTACTGAGCAAAGGCTGCGAATACTTACACACAATAAATGGGACTTTTTCAGTTTTTATATTTTCATAAATTTGCAATTCACAACTAAACTTGTGTTGCACAATGTATTGTAATTTCATACTTATTTCACAGGCCCACTGTAGCACAGCGATTACGACCAGATGACATACGTCCAGTCAGCGCCGCTGCCACGGACGGAGCTCCTTGTCTACTGGTTGTTGTCCTTTGGCTCCCATTTTTACTCTTTTTATGAACTTCACAGGTTCTCAAAAGGTAGGAGAATAATTGGAATTGCCTTAGGTTTGTTGACAGTGCTTGGGAAATAGTTTTGCCAGCTCCTGTGTTTCAGAGCATGAAGCCGGATTGGATAGACAATTTCACCTGGAAAGGAGCCTCTTTAAGGGGTTCAAAAGGGTATGTTTTGAAAATGTTGACCATTACCTTCTTTAACTTGCAGTGTCCTCAGTAATTGTGGTCAAAAGTTGAAACATTGTACATACAGTAAATATGAAAAATCTGCATGTCCCTCTAAAATAAACCAATAGACCGAAATAAATTACCGCATTTCAAAATGTTTCCATTGTTGATGTGAGCCATAGCTTGTAAAAAATAGTACAAAATAAATGCACATTTCCACCAGATTCAGATTTATTAATGGAGTATGAACCTTACATAGCAGTAACATGGCTCCTGTCTTGCATTTTCACTCATCGACTTTATTTCCAAAATCATTTAAAGGCTTGCAATGGTATGTTGTCCTTGTGTTTTGGTCAGGATGTGTCAGACTTTGAGTGGACCTTCTGGACCGAGTGGGCAAAAAAGTCCTTGCTGTGGACTCTAATTGGACATGCTGTCCTATCTAGATTCTGCAGCATCTTTTACCCACAGGTTGGAGTCAACAAACATATACACAAAACCTCTCACGAGTGATTAAAGAGGACAGAGTAGAAAAAAGAGCACTACATATTTTACCGATACTTTATAAAAAACATACACTAATGAGATAATTGAACAGTTTGCTTGAATTAAATGGACATTGTGCTGCTCCTTGTGGTGTGAAAAGTGTGCCACCAGTTTTTAAGATCCATGGGTTTTAAATTGTGATGGAAAAATGCATAATATATTCAGTAATTTTTTTTTTTGCCCTTTTGTCAACAGTTTCGGGTTGCTGCGCTCACAGTTTACGGCCTGTTTGCGGCCTGCAGTGTGTTGGGACTCAGAGGTGTGGCCGTGTTACTTCTCCATGTGGCTTTGTCTTTCTCTGTGGCGCAACTCAGAAGGCCCGCTCTATGTTGGACCTGCAACCTTCTGCTCCTCTGCACTCTTCATGTGCGACCATTTCAAGACATTCAGGTGGCGGTACCTCCTGATTACAAACACAGATAAGTAGTAGAATTAAAATAATCCCGGTACAGTGCTTTTAATGACTATATTAATATTTCACATCCACCGCAGATGCTGATCAAAAAACTACATTTAATGGACACAAGATGGTGCAAGAGGCCAAGGCGAAATCTTCTTGCAGACTTTTTTGTTGATTTGAGCAATATTTTTAGAATAAAAAAGTGACATTTCATATATTTTTTATCTTAATTCACACCTTGATTACACGTGTCTTTTAAAACATCTAATGATACAATAGGCATTTCAGTCAAACATAAACATTTTCAAATTACAGAGAAACTACAACCAATTATACACTACCATTCAAAAGAAACTGAATCCGAAATGTTTGCAGTCACTAGGAAAAGAAAAAACATCATAAGCAAAACCCAAGAAATATAGTTTACTTTAGACAGTGTTAATGGGGTTAAAAAAAACGTTTCCCCTGATTTTCCCGCAGAGGAGCTGGTACGAGCATGAGGAGGAGTACTACCTGCTGCTCTTCGGCGTGGCCGTGGGCACGCTTCGCCTCATCAGCTTCAGTTTGGAGCGCTGCGGCCGCACCGTGATCCATGGCGCCGCCCTCCCGCAGCTCTGCTGGCTGTTGTCGTACACTTTCTACCATCCCTTTTTCTACAACGGACCTATCATCACTTTTAACGATTACGTGGAGCAGGTGAGCAACAGAAATTCAATGAATTATAAACTCATTCATTTATTCACCTTTTCACAATCTTGCAGCATCTTAGGGCCAAGGAGCTACTATAGATATTTTCAGCCATTTTGTGGCATCCACACACAATTATGAACTTTTTTAGAAAATGTGTCAATTAGCTCCCCACATCCCCCCCACGTATGATCTGTCCATTTGCATCAGATTTCTGTGGCCCTTTTGCGGACACTGAACATGAACACTCAATTTTAGAATGCAATTTATCTCCCGTAGTAAACATCAGATTTCTGTGGCCCTTTTGCGGACACTGAACACTCAATTTTAGAATGCAATTTATCTCCCGCAGTAAACAGGCATTCAGTGTATTCGGAAGCCATCAAAGAAGACACTCACGTGGATTTTTTATTTTTTTTGGTTATTTTTGTTGCTGTCGTATGTTCGCTTCATGGATGTTGAGGTGTCACCTTGTAGATGCAGAAGCCCGCAGAGGAGAGTGACCGGCACAAGGCAGGTGCTCGTTACTTGTTGCTTCGTTCGACACGGATCCTGATGTGGTGGTGCATCGCCGAGTATATGATTCACGTCATGTACATGCACGCCATCCAGTCCAATGAGACCTATCTGGAGATTCTGCCACCGTGGGCTTTAGGTTAGTGCACGTGTTCTTACTTGAGCATCGGCACGTCGCCAGGATTTTTCTCTCCCGGTGCGAGAGGAGAACTTGAGCAAGAGGGAGAGAGGATGAGAAAATTATTTATAAATGTTTTTTGAAATGAAATGCTGGAAGGGCTGAACTGGGGCTATAGCAATTTCTGACGGGGCTATGGCATCCCCTGGTCCCGGTGTAGCGCCATCCCTGCTTGAGAATGTTGTTCTCGATCTACCTCTTTACAAAGGGAAGTTAATGACATGCAAGGGTAAGGGGAAAAAAAACACAGACTTGCTCTCACTGACCTTGTTCCATTATTCAGATGTGATCTTTTGCATTTTAATTAGCCTGCAGTTTAAATGTTAACTTTCTCCATCAAATGTTTTACTTATTTGTGTTCACAATTTTAGACAATTCAATAAATCTAAAAAAAACAAAAGGACGTTTATTTTACAAGAGCATGAATTGTCTTTTTAAAAATGTTTTTTGAAATACAATTTTTATCATTAAAAGTTTTCAATTGAGAAATTTCATATATTTTATACACTGGGAATGAAAAGTGGCATTATTTGCATTTTGTCGTGGTAGGTTTAGTGTTGCTCGAGTCATTTTCTTTGATATGATTAATCACGTCAATGTACTGCTAACTATTGATTCTTCTGTTGGGCAGGGGGTCTGGCTCTGGCCCTGGTGCAGTTCTTCTTTGTCAAGTACCTGGTGCTGTTCGGTCTCCCGTCCATGTTGGCGACGTTGGACCAGCTGGTTCCTCCTGGTCTACCTCGCTGTGTCAGCATCATGTACAGCTTCACTGGCATGTGGCGGTAAGTCACATTCACTCAGCGGGGCCCCCCCGCATTCCTTGTCCGGCACGCGGGCCAACATCCTTGAGGACAAAATTCTTGCATTAAATGTCAAGTGCTTTTGAAAGTGTGTCTGCGCTTAGGCAATCACGGCCCCCGCTCTGAATCGCCTCGCCCGCCATTACTTGCAATCACCACAACAGTCACCTCCACATGACATCTGCACGTCTCAAGGACTCATCTTACTTTTTTTTTTTTCTTAAATGGAGCTAAAGGGTGAGAGGTTAATGTAGTAAAACACACACACACACACACACACACACACATAAGAAATACACTTCTCTTCCATTAATGAACACTATTGAAGATCTTGCACATGTCAGAAGTGGCTATTTACGAGCCACCATGAGCCTTGCCAGCACATGACATTGCTGCCTTTACACTGTGGGGGGCGCTGTTGATTAAAGATTAGAAGACCAAAGCTCCTTACTTGGCGGAACGGAATTGCGAGGTTTTAATAAAATGTCCGTCAAAGTAAAACGTCAAATAAGCGCTGCATTTATTTTAGGTGCATGTGTGGATGTAAGTACGGGTGAGGTAGCAAGCCAAAAGGAACAACTGGTGTCTGTAATGTTGGCAACTTAACTACATTTGCTATATTTTGTGACATTTCTGACTCCTCAAGTCACTATTTTCCCCTCAAAAAGAGACTACTGTAGCAAAATGACGATTGTGGTCGGATGTTAGCAACATTGTTAATATGTTAGCAAGATTCTCAATTCGTGCATGGTGGAGAATAGAGGGCTAAGAAGATTTAACGTGATAATACTGTACACAAAATCTACAGTTTCATGTAGGCTACTGTACATATTAAGTGGATTGTAAATCATCATTTTATCATAAATCACATAATAATAACAACACACTTTCCACTCATCTGTATATTTGGGAGCCCTGGCTAGCAACAGCTCATGATCGTGGGCGGTTGATGCACAAAATTAATGTTCGAATTTTTCAAGTGTAAAGATTCCATTTTAATGCCTGTTTACAATCTTGTTTAAAATTTGTATTTCCAAATTCTAACGACAAATCTACACACGGAGCAATTTATTGAAACAAGACGTTATGCTTTTTCGAAATACATTAAAAATTAAATAGGCAAAGTTTGCCTAGCATGTTGGCTTGGCCCTCGTCAAGCATTCCGGTTTCTCATGGGGCTTCATGAATAGATTTGTTGGTGGCAGTAAACTGTAATATTCAACTTGATGAACATACCAGTAAATATCCACCGAAATGAATGAGTTGACCTAAGAAGTACGTCTTTCAAATGAGGGTGGAAGCCTCCCATGATGCCGCCGGCTGGATGTTATTCAAGAAAATATAATGCGGGTTGATCCATTTGTAATGGGACAAACTGTGTTGAAATGATCACAGAATGCGCCAGGATACAAGACATGAAAGCAGTTTGAAGGAGAGCATTCTTTGTGCATTTTTAGACATGACCAGCCCCATCGCTGCGTTTGCGCACATCTCTCAATAGACAAGTCGGCCCAATAGTGCTGACCAGTGACGCATGCCAATCCTGCGTACGCTGAGCTGGCCCATGTCGCGACAACATTGATGGAATGCATAAAGCTGTCTGCTGACGTCATGGACAAAACAGGCGGTATTTTCTGAGCACAACTCTGAAAGACTTGCTTCTTTTCATCTCCTTAATGACGAAAGAGAGAGGGCAAGAGAGTGGGAGGGAGAGCACGTCTAGCATTACAAACGGTACACTCCTCAACATGCCTGCGTTTATTTAGTCTACGGCATAATGAAGCTCAGGTGTTCCTGGCTCATGGTATTATCATGTAAATGAATTCAATTAACGTTCTCCCCTTCTCTCGCTCTGTCCCTCCACTCTTACAGGCATTTTGACAAGGGCCTGTATCGATGGCTCCTCAGGTAAGAGGCCCTTCATAAGATGCACATCCTATCTTGTCACGCTTTCTGTTTATTCTATTTGGCAATCCATTCATACAAACATCTTTGTTTATTTAGCCATCCGTCGTTCTACATTTCTATTGATCCTTTCATTCTATCTATCCGTTCATCCACCTGTCCAAAAATCTATCCATCCATCTACAGTCTAGAGAACAAAAGAAAATGATCTTCTCAGTAAAATATACACAGGACAGTTATTTGAATATCGTTACATAAATGCACACATTTTTACAAGGTCCGGACGGGTACATACTGTTAGTTGATTGGAGCAATAGTTATAAAATGCCACCAAGTGACAATCTTGCACTCTTAAGTAATTCCTGTTCACTACCCACAATGTTGAGTAGTTTTACTTTTCTTTGTTCCATCCATCTATTTATCTATCTGCATTGTATTTATTCCCCCCTTAAGCGCATGTTCATTTTGGCAGCTTATTGAACTCATCGATATGCAACTGTTTAAAAACCTTTTTAAAAAAAAAAAAAATTGGTGGGGGTGGCCGGGCAGGGGTTTTGGGGGGGGGTGCATTCTGCAGCTGCGTTGCACACTTGGTCATAAATAGACAAGGACGCTGCATTTGCATGGAGGTTTTCTCATGATTATGAGCTTGCGTGTTGTCGTTGTTGGGGAATAATAGCAAGTGCGTTTCTGTTGTTGCGTTTCCACTCGCCGAACCCTGGAGAAATGCCTCCTTTGTTGAATATGTGCATATGGAGCAGCCAGCGCCGTTTGCCGGCTTATTCCTCGGACGGCTCGCTTTTTTTTATTATGAGTGTGCCTGCCACTGAATGTGCTGCAGCCTGTCGGGAGTTTGCGATGCGCTTGGTGGAGGTACGTCGCTCCGTGAAGGCGTAGATGCCACCGTGCCACGCTTGTCTGAGAACAAGCTCCCTTGTCTCTCTTCTTTTTTTTTTTTATTCAGAACTTATTATGACTAATTAGTGGGGGTGTCTGCTTTGTTTTGACATGCATAAATCCATTCACTTTTTAAAGCATTTCTGCTCATTGCGTTAGAATTGCACGTAAGCTGGAGAGAAATAGGTTAGACAATGGACGGGTTGTCAGCCAAGCATTCACACCTCAGGACAATTTCGACTACATTTTTATTTTAGAGTGTTCAATGAACTTATTTGAGGGAATGTGGGAAGAAACCTGTGTAGCCAAAGAAAACCAATCATGGGGAGGAAAATACCAACACAACACATAAAGGCCGGAGCTGATTTTAGAACCCCCATCCTCACAACTCATTAAGCTGATGTTAGATGTCTTAGATTGACTTTATTTTGATTTTATTTTTAAAACATTTCACATATGGGTAAACGTTACAATATGCTCATATGGACCAAATGACATGTTTTCGGACTCAATACGTAGATTTTACATGGTTGCTGATTTTCCCCAAATTATCGGATAAACTGATTTATTTTCACTACTTCCGTTTTTTTGGCATCTTCCACGAACTAACAAAGTGCAAAATCCACTTTTAAAAATGGGATTACAGCTCTCGGTGTGTTTCGTCTGCAAAACTTCAGTCTGAAGTCTGGTAGATTGGATGGTTGAAGTGGCCTCAATTAGTAAAGTATTTCTATTGCAAATGAAAATTTCTATTTCAGCCTGT